AAATGGCTACTGTTACTGTAATCTCGTGAGACATAGCGGGAATACGGTATCAGTGAAACACACAGGTGTCGGTTTATTAAACAGCGGTGAATTACCGCTGCTGAGTTGGCGGCACTCTTAGAGCAGACCGCTCTCTTTAGTACCTCACACTGCACTACACAATTTAAAAAATATATATATATAAGTCCCCTGCCCCTACACAAATAATAAATAAATATATTATTATATATATATATATATATTAGTTACAGTAGGTCCATGTATATTTGGACACAGGCATAATTTTAATTTTAATTTTTTTTCAAGTATTTTCCAAACATATTCAAGCTTTAGTTATATAATGGATATAGGCTGGATGTGCAAACTCTCGGGTTTAATTTGAGGGTATGTACATCCAAATTGCTTGAAAGGTTTAGGAATTACAGCTCTTAGGAGTAGCCACCCCCCCTTTTTCAAGGGACCAAACGTAATTGGACAGTTGAATCAAAAGGTGTTTCATGGCCAGGTGTGGTCTACTCCTTTGTTATTTCTTCATCAATTAAGCAGGTAAAAGGTCTGGAGTTGATTCTAAGTGTGGTATTTACATTTTGAATCTATTGCTGTCAACCTACATCATGCATTCAAAGGAGCTGTCCATGCAAGTGAAACCGGCTTCAAAAACTAAACAAATCCATCACAGAGATAGCAGCAACATTAGGAGTGGCCAAATCAACAGTTTGGTACATTCTGAGGAAAGAAGAACGCACTGGTGAGCTCAGCAACATAAAAAGGCATGGATGTCCACAGAAGACAACAGTGGTGGATGATTGCAGGATCCTCTCTATGGTAAAGAAAAACCCATTCACAATATCCAGACAAGTGAAGGACACTCTCCAGGAGGTGGGCGTATCATTGTCAAAGTCTACAATCAAGAGAAGACTTCACGAGAGCAAATAGAGAGGGTTCACAACAAGGTGCAAACCATTAATAAGCCTGAAGAATAGAAAAGCCAGATTAGACTTTGCCAACAAACATCTAAAAAAGCCAGACCAGTTCTAGAAAAGCATTCTTCGGATGGATGAAATGAAGATTAATCTGTTCCAGAACAACAGAAAGAAAAAAGTGTGGAGAAGGCTTTGAACAGCTCATGATCCAAAGCACACAACGTCATCTGTAAAACATGGTGGAGGCAGTGTGATGTCATGGGCATGCATGGCTTCCAGTGGCACTGGATCATTGGTGTTTATTGATGATGTGACAGAAGCAGCCAGATGAATTCTGCAGTTTAGAGATATACTGTCAGCCCAGATACAGCCAAATGCAGTAAAGTTGATTGGATGGTGCTTCACAGTACAGATGGACAATGATCCAAAACACACTGCAAAAGCAATCCAGGAGCTTTTGAAGGAAATGAAGTGAGATATTGTACAATGGCCGATTCAATCACCTGATCTCAACCCAATTGAGCATGCATTTCACTTGCTGAAGGCAAAACTAAAGGCAGAAAGACCCACAAACAAAGAACAACTGAAGATAGTTGCAGTTAGAGCCTGGCAAGGCATCATAAAGGAGGAAACCCAGTCTTTGGTAATGTCCATGGGTTCCAGACTTCAGGCAGTCATTGCCAGTAAAGGATTCTCAACAAAATATTAAAAATGCACTTTTTATTTATGATTATATTCAATTGTCTAATTACTTTTGGTCCCTTGAAAAAGGGGGGTGGGAGGGAGTGGCTATTCTTAAGAGCTGTAATTCCTAAACCCTTCCTCCAATTTGGATGTACATACCCTCACATTAAACCTGAGAGTGTGCACTTTCAGCCCATATCCATTATAAAAGTTTTGCAGGGTTTGTGAAAGGCAGGGGAGTTTTCCAGGGTCTGATTGAGGAAGAAGAACGTCAAAGGACTTCCTCAGTACTCCAGCAATTCCCTCTTCTCTCCCAGATTCTTCATCTCTTCATCTTTTTATCCAGGGTTTTTTGAGCGTTAAAAAATGCTAGTGTGCATGGAGCCTAATAGACCATTAGTGAACTGAACATAAAAATGGGGTGTGCAGCGCTATACAAATAAAACACACTGCCATAAATATAACAAAAAGTGAAAAAAGTCCTATAAGCTGAATGACAAACAGTCCGAGGTGATATGGTATCAGTCCAAATAGGTATATTCCAGTGATGGAGTATATATGACTTCAATCCAAATGGGTATATTCCAACATCCCAACATGAAGGTGTAGAAAAATTGCCCACTCACCGGAAGTGCAATTTAATGTGCACATAGAAATTCCATGAAGCCGAAGGTCCCGTGAAGGTGCGGCCTGATGGTAAAGGTGTCCTCTGGTGGTTAATGGGGTGACTGCTGCCAGAGATGATGGTCCGGACCTATATCCCAAATCCTCCAACCTGGGTGGACTCCTAAAATGCTGGGCTGAGATGTGGAGGCTCAGTGCCAGGTAATAGAGATGAAAACGCTCATGGTGTAGTATTGTGAAATGTATTTATTAGGGTATATATCATTATGGTAAACAGTAAACGTACAGGGTGATAATAACCTATACAAGTATAGTATGAATGAGCTCTTGAATGCACTGACCAGTGGATAAAAATGATGGCCACCGGACCTCCTGATCCGGTGGCGTGACGTCAAGGCGTGCAGAGGCTCCTCCTAGACGCGCTTCGTGTAATAACACGTCTCCTGTAGGGGTGATGCCATGCACGCCAGACGTCTCCTTACTCCTATTTATAAGTTAAAATTGCGCCAAAAAAGGGGCCTGGCGCCGTTTTGGCCGTTTATCGGCCTATTGCGCCAAAAAAGGGGCGCAATCCTCATAAATTGGCTTCTAGGAATACCCGTCAGCCAACGTGGATGGTGGCAGCTGTCAGTAGGGATGTATCCATTCCTATCCGATGGCTTGAAGTATGCTTCGGTAATGCAGTAGCCTCCCTTGTTAATAATAGAGATGTCTAGAAAATTAACTCTGTCCGTACTGTATTCATAGGTGAGATGGATATTCAAACTATTGTAGTTCAATGTGCCAAAGAAATTTACCAGGGCCATTTCTTCCCCCTGCCATACTATGAGAATGTCATCTATATACCTCTTATAGAAGAGTAATTCCGGCCATTCCCTGGAATAGATGTTATCTTCCTCCCACCTGGCCATAAACAGGTTGGCCAGGCTGGGGGCAAACTTGGCCCCCATTGCAACGCCTCTGGTTTGTAGATAAAAAGTGTTATTAAACCAGAAGTAGTTATTACTCATTGCAAAATTCAATAGATCCAGAATGAATGTTTTAGTGGACCGCGCGCCGGCCATTTTTAGATGATCTTAATATCACCAATAACATGGTGCCCGAGCATGTGCATGAGGCCGAAAAGTCGGCAAAATGGCGCCCCGCGCATGCGCAATAGGCCGATAAACGGCAAAACGGCGCCAGGCCCCTTTTTTGGCGCAATTTTAACTTATAAATAGGAGTAAGGAGACGTCTGGCGTGCATGGCATCACCCCTACAGGAGACGTGTTATTACACGAAGCGCGTCTAGGAGGAGCCTCTGCACGCCTTGACGTCACGCCACCGGATCAGGAGGTCCGGTGGCCATCATTTTTATCCACTGGTCAGTGCATTCAAGAGCTCATTCATACTATACTTGTATAGGTTATTATCACCCTGTACGTTTACTGTTTACCATAATGATATATACCCTAATAAATACATTTCACAATACTACACCATGAGCGTTTTCATCTCTATTACCTGGCACTGAGCCTCCACATCTCAGCCCAGCATTTTAGGAGTCCACCCAGGTTGGAGGATTTGGGATATAGGTCCGGACCATCATCTCTGGCAGCAGTCACCCCATTAACCACCAGAGGACACCTTTACCATCAGGCCGCACCTTCACGGACCTTCGGCTTCATGGAATTTCTATGTGCACATTAAATTGCACTTCCGGTGAGTGGGCAATTTTTCTACACCTTCATGTTGGGATGTTGGAATATACCCATTTGGATTGAAGTCATATATACTCCATCACTGGAATATACCTATTTGGACTGATACCATATCACCTCGGACTGTTTGTCATTCAGCTTATAGGACTTTTTTCACTTTTTGTTATATTTATGACAGTGTGTTTTATTTGTATAGCGCTGCACACCCCATTTTTATGTTATACAGTATTCTTAGAAAGGCTCTGTGGTTCCTTTTTGTGCACCAGCAGCTTTATAAGGTGCGCTCGCTAACTCACACATTTACACATTAGTGAACTGAGATGAGCGATCCTCAGGATCACTGTTTATCTCAGCCTCATAAAGAGACAAAAAAACCTTGGTGTCGCTATTATGGTAATTTTTGGATTTGGGATGTTTTTGGTTACTAAGTTCAAGTGGTCTTTTCGGGGTAAAAAAGCATGCTGATATTCTAGAAAAAGAATCAATCATTTTCTGCATAGTTAATCCAGCGGTGATTCCACAAGTATGATGGCAACTAGCAACTTTGAAAGTCATAAAATTGCAGCGTCCATATGTTTAGAACAAGAATTTAGGCCTAGTATCATGTCCAATATTGCGATGTTCATAGTACTAACTGGAACAATCTCCCAAATAAGGTGAGTAAATACAGTACAGTAGGTGGAAAAAGACCAGATAGCATTGTTACCCGTGCATAAATATTGATAATCAATATAAATATAAAGATTATTGTACGATGCCTTCCAATTATAAAAGGGAGAAAGACCATTTTTAATCTCTTTAGATTCTGTGGTCAATATTCAGTGTTTTTTTCTGTTAGCAATGCATCAATATATGAAGACAGACCTTATCTTTGGCAATGGGAAAAACAAAGGAAAATGGATGAGTTTTATGTTCATTTTTATTATTTTGTATAAAATATTACTTTTACAAGTAAACATTTAAAGTAAACATGGCACTGCATATATGCAATTTATGTTGGATTTCGAACAAAGCTCTGTGTTCATACTTCATGGCTGACTATGTTCATCTACCAGTTAAACAACTAAACCCACAACAGTAAAATCAGTCTGTATATGCTGTAAAGCATTCTTGTTATACTCACTGTAAACCCAAAGGGGTTAATCCTTTGTATTGTGTAAAAAAGCTGCTTGATCCTGACTTCTCTGATCCTCCCCTTCTTCCAGTGCCCCCCTCTTATCTCCTGATGAGACATATTGTGTGGAGTCACTCTGCACATGCTCAGTTTGGTGTGTATTGCTAAAGAGGGTTTTTTTTTTCTTGGGAGAGTGTATGTGATCAGCACAGGGCCAATCAGCACTGTTCAGACAGAGGTCAGGGGTTCTACATCCTCCTAGAGCAGAAATAAAACTCCTAAAAAGCTTTAACCAGTGCTCTGCTGAACACAAGACTGCTTTAACTGCTGATGAAAAAAGGTATTTAAACATTTACTAAATTTACTAAAATAATTGCATTTCCATGTTCTGTGTACTGTGGGAGACCAGATATAGTGAATGTAGGGTCCTGGGTTTAGTAACACTGTAATATTGTGCTGTTTTTCTGATGGCAAAGGAGGAGAGGGGCATTTCCCTCCTATATGTCCCTTACATATCAAAAAAAGATCTGCTTAACAGACCTGGTTAGAACACCACCTGGTGGCTGCAAGTGGTAATTAGTAAATATTTATTTATGCTTTATATTAACCTGATTAAAAATACAGTTCTTTTTAAACATAACATCATAAAAGACCTGTATTTCTTACTGCAAAAGGCATATCATAAGAAACATTTTCCCTTTCTTATACTATATGGGAAAAATGTCTACTAATTTGAATAATGTGTCATCCCTATACATTTCTAACAAAATACCTTGCACATTTCTTAACAAACTGCCACTATGAGTATTATGAATGAATGGTCTCAAATAATTGAAGTATATCGAATCCTAATAACGAAAAGGAAAACTAATCAGACGAAAACATTATTATTATTAGTAAAGTGACAATTCTACGTGCATACTAATATTGGTGCTGTGTTATCCACCTGTAAGTGACACCGCAAATAAAAGCATCACAAAATGACATGCAGAATAATGTGACATATAACAACTACGATGGTGAAATGAAATGACTTTTCTACAGGGGAAGGAGAGAATTTCAACTTTCCAACAAACAACTTCATTTACAAGTATGTGTCTAATTAGTTGCAGAATTAGTGGAGCTGAGACTCTCCCTCGGTCCCCTCCTCCTATAGATGGGATAAAGCCTCGAGGGATAGTGGTAGAACAAGCCGAATCGCATTTCCAATTATTTTGCTGAATTGCTAATTTAGTTATTGTGCCTGGTCTAATTGTGATGGGTATTGGGTGTGCAACTCAATTTGTTTTTAAATATTTGTTGGGAGATTGATCTGTTATGCAGCTGACCTATTTTGTGGCTCAAATTGAGAGAGCGCGGCAACACACAAAACAGCTACAAAGCCTCGGTTTGTTGCAGTTTTTATTTTTTGATCTCTCATCCCTCTTTTTTGGGCTGAAAATTTAACAAAAGGTTTAAATTAAAAGCAGCTACTTTGATCTTTTGCTTTTGAAAGCTTAATTCACCCTTCCTAAGCACTCTAACTAGATAGCTTAGAATACAAGCCATTAAATGCATTATTCTGATCTCTTTATATCTTTGTATTCTATGGATAATTTTAAGTATTTCCTGGTTTTAACCATCATGGTGCCAGAATGTGCATGTTGCCTCTCCATTTCTGCCATTTTTTCCCTTTCCAAACACTTCAGCAGAATCCCAGATGAAATAACTGCTGATAATTAGGCTTCTGGATTTCCTAAGCATTACTTACAGTTAATAATAATGGATCAGTGAGAGGGACTTGAAAAGCACCAGAATTAGCTAAATTCATTATATTTCTAGGGAGGGTAGTAACCTTGTGTAATTCCACTGAGTAAAGGCCAACATTGCTGCAAGCTCATGCCATTCCATTATTTAACAAACTAATGGAATGGGAAGAAACGCAGGGCTGGAGCCAGCATTGCCATTAGTGGAGAGAATGGTTGTTGGTGGCAATTCCCAGATATGCCGATCAATTTATTCCCATTATTAGAAGAGAACCAGTTTTCTTTTTAACCACTTGCCCTCTGGAAGATTTCCCCCCCTTCTATCAAAGATTGCAAAACGTGTGTTCCAAATGGACAATTAGATTTAGCCAATCCTGTTTAAGGAAAGAAAGAAAATATAAAGTAATGAAAGTGAAAAAAGAGGGTAAAGAAAAAAATACAGAGAAAGTATCACATCAGAGTGGCCAAAAATATTAATGTGCATATATTACAATCAAAAAGATGGGGGGCCACCTTATGGATAAACCAAATGGGTATAAATATTTACTTTCCACTTTTTGCAATCTTTGATGGAAGGGTCCTTCCTAAATTTTGAGTGATCATGGTTTCCCGATCGTCTCATAAACAACTAGATACCATCTTCTGGTAACTGTAAATATATATATATATATATATTTTCAGTTTTTGCTCTTTTATGTGCTCTGTTTGCTTATTATGGCTCTGTTTACAATTTCAGAGATGTATGTTAAATCTTCCTGAGGAAGCAGGCTTTTGTTCTGTGAAACGCATTGGAGAAAACCTAAAACAAACTACATAGGAGCTATATAGATATCTGTTGTCCATATGCATTATATATGGAATTTTGGAGTGACTTATAATAAAGCCTGATGTTTTGTATAGTCACGTATGCAAACAGAGCGCTTTGTTGCTCAATGTTACATGTTTTTATTAACAGAGCGCTTTGGTTGCTCAATCTTTGTACTACAATCATGGTTTTTAACAAAGTGTCTAATAAAGCTTTGATATAAATGGAAAAAAGACCACTTTTTCATATAGTTCTTGTATGTAGTATTTGCTGGTATGGTGCCTAAAGAGTGTTTGTCCCCTAGTAGTTTCACTCTGGTTAGGGTTTTTTTATTTTTTTTTTTCAATGTCTTTATAATAAGGGGTGTAATTCAGCATCAGTAAAAAATGCCTATTCGCAAAGTGTAAGATCTTTTCTCTTCTTAGTAGTGCTGTTTCATACTGGTAATTGCGCAGCAGTCATGCAATGCTCTACCCAAACAAAATTTATGTCTTTTTTTCACACAAGTAGAGCTTTCTTTTGGTGGTATTTGATCACCACTGGATTTTTTATTTCTTCTGATATAAAATGAAAAAAGACCAAAAATTTAAAAAAAAAAAAAAAGATATTTTCTACTTTCCGTTATAGAAAATATCCAAAAAAACTCAGTTAGGCTGGCCATACATTATACATTTATCTTCCAATTTTCTGCGCAGAAAAGACCAATTTTCCGTGCAGAACTCCCAGGCTACCCCCTTGCTGCTGTCTCCAAGAATACGACGAGTCGACTTTAGATTTACCTTCAACTGTGTAGTGCAAGGGCCTGCCTAATTGGATACAAATGAAAAACGTGTTTGTCCTCCTATTATATGGTTTTTGGTAAATCTAAACCAAAAATTAAATCTCCATATAATTGTATAATGTATGCAAGCCAGCCTTAGTCATACATTTAGGCCAAAATTTATTCTGTAACATGTCTTTGGTAAAAAAAAAAAAATCGCAGTAAATACGTGTACATTAATTGGTTTGTGTTAAAAGTTATAGCGTCTACAAACTATGGTATATGTGTGTTTATGTATGTATGTAAAAAAAAAAATAGTATTGTACATTAATATCTTATATATATATATATGTAATATATATATATTATATATATATATGAATTTACACGGCTTTTACTTTCTGACTGCCTATCACATTTCTTTAGGTTCTGAATGCCAAGGCAGTACAAACCCCCCCCCCCCCAAATGACCCCTTTGCTGAGAGGCATGTTGAGACAATGGAAAATTGTGTTTTTTGCCACAATTTTTTGGAAAATGACTAATATATATATATATACAGTGGGGCAAAAATGTATTTAGTCAGCCACCAATTGTGCAAGTTCTCCCACTTAAAAAGATGAGAGAGGCCTGTAATTGGCATCATAGGTAGACCTCAACTATGAGAGACAAAATGAGAAAAAAAATCCAGACAATCACATTGGCTGATTTGGAAAGAATTTATTTGCAAATATGGTGGAAAATAAGTATTTGGTCAATATCAAAAGTTCATCTCAATACTTTGTTATATATCCTTTGTTGGCAATGACAGAGGTCAAACGTTTCCTGTAAGTCTTCACAAGGTTGGCACACACTGTTGCTGGTATGTTGGCCCATTCCTCCATGCAGATCTCCTCTAGAGCAGTGATGATTTTTGGGGCTGTCGCTGGGCAATACGGACTTTCAACTCCCTCCAAAGGTTTTCTATGGGGTTGAGATCTGGAGACTGGCTAGGCCACTCCAGGACCTTGAAATGCTTCTTACGAAGCCACTCCTTCGTTACCCGGGCGGTATGTTTGGGATCATTGTCATGTTGGAAGACCCAGCCACATTTCATCTTCAATGCCCTTGCTGATGGAAGGAGTATGGGGATACCACACCTGAGAGACTTTTTGGCAGCCTAACTACATACAGGTCCCGAAAATCCAATGACCACCTCCAGGTTTCCAAAGGGCATATTTCCTCATGTCACTACCTATCACAGTTTTGGAGGCCCTAAAATGCCAGGGTAGTACAAACACCCCCCCCCCCCCTCCAAAATGACCCCTTTTTGGGAAGTAGACAACCCAAGGAAGTTGATAAGAAGCATGGTGAGTATTTTTGTAGATATCATTTTTGTCACAGGGTTTTGAATAAGAAAAAATACATTTTCATTTTCTTTCTTCGTTTTCCAAAAACTTGTAGCAAAAAATGAGATCTGCAAAATACTCAACATGACCCTTAGCTAATACCTTGGAGTGAATACCAAACAGGGTGTTGTGTTTGGCCCATGTACCATGTGAGAGCTATGGGCCAATCACAGCTCTCCAGGAACAGAAGCAAGGTTGTAATGATTCATAACAAATTTGTTGTGATTGTGATCATGTGATCGCCATGTGCCAGTTAATGGACACAGCGGACATGAGGGGGCAGTGCCCCCCTGTGTTGGTACAGCCCCAGCAACGTACGGGTACATCGCTGGTCCTGTAGCTGCCGAGACCGAGAGGTGTTTGTTGGTCAAAATCATGGCCCACATTAACCAATCTAAAAAAATCGTTCGTCGGGCAATACGTAGTGTTGATGTCTTCCGTACAAGTGGAAGTGATGCAGTGTGAGCGTGACCTTGTAGCCATGCCCTTCCAGCCAGAACGAGCGATATACACAATTAACAGCAATGAGTATAATATAGTTTATTACATT